GGGGGCGCCAGAGGCGCGCCCTATTCGGGGCGGTCAGAGCCGCCACCCACACCGGTGCACCATAAAGCGCCATGGACCGGACAACCCCCGCGTACAGCCGCCTCGTGGGAACACTGGCCCCGCCCAAATTGGGCAAAAGTCGCCCTAGGGGCGGAGGCAGTGTCCACCAGCTTCGGACCAAGCTGTCGGAAGTGCTCGTCGAAGAGCCACCTACCGTCTAGGACCAGACCCAGGTACCTCATCTGGGCCCGGACCGGTACGGGGACCGAGCCGACCTCGATTGAGGCGCCGGCGGGTGGACCACGACGGGGCCCATGAAATAATAGGGCCTCCGTCTTATCCAGGGCCACCCGCAAACCCAAAGCCTCAATGCGCCCGACCACCTGGGAAACTCCCGTGGCGGCCAGGCGCGCCGCCTCCTGGAAGTTAGCCCCCCGGGCCGTGAGTAAGGTGTCGTCCGCGTAGCAGATTACACCCAGCCCGGGGGGGAGACGCCCTCGTAGGGCCCTGGCGTCCGTCCTGGGGGAACCCCACGCAATGGACTTTGCGTTGAAGTCCCCCAGCACAAGGACGTGCCCAGACGCTAGTCGCCGTATCGAGGTCTCCAAACTGGTTAGGAAAACCTCGAAGTCGTTCAAACTCCGGTTGGGGGAGAAATAGACACCATATATGGTGATCCCCCCCCACTCGACGGCAACATATCCAGTGCCCTTGTCTCTTAGCGACAAGGGCGGGGAATGAGCCGTCGTGGAACCGACGACTGCCACGGAGCCGTCCGTGTCACCCATCCAGTTTGGACGGGGAGGGACAGAATAGGGCTCCGCGACTACGGCAACACCTATCGACCACTGTGCCATGGTTTGCAGGAAAAGATCCTGCGCCGCGGCACAGTGGTTCAGGTTCGTCTGGACCAGGAGGTTGGAGACTTGATCCATTACTGGATCGTCTCTACAACCTCCTCCATGGGCGACGACGTCGACGCAATATTGACGTCGGGGGTAGCCTGGGTCGACTGGCTAGCCCCTGACGTCTGCCGAGAACTGCGGGGAGGCTTGCAGCCTCTCTGCCCCATCTGGTGATTGGCGGGCTTATTGCCCGCCGCACACACTGGGCAGTGAGGGGCGGCAGAGCATTCTGCCGCCTTATGCCCCGGTTGACCGCAGCGGAAACACAGTCCGCCGCAGTCAAAACAGCTGTCGCACTTGACGCGCGTGTGTCCCGATGCTAGGCATTTGTAGCACCTCATCGGTCTCGCCGCCAGGACTGTGATCCTGGCGCTCACGAAACCGACGAGCAGCCTGCCGGCGTCGGCCAATACTTTGGCCGACGCTACGGGACAGCTGACCCACACGGCGCCAAGCCCTCCTGGACCGGGGCGGATGGTGCCGACCCTGACGTTGTCCGCGCTGCACCCCGTCTTCTCCCGGATTACAGCGCGGACATCTTCGGCCGTCACTGAGTCGTCCAGGCCCGAGATGCGCAGTTCCGCGCACTTGGTAGGCCTGGCGACCCTGACACCATCTGTGGCTGCAAATATTCCCCGCAGCTTCTCTGCGAAGGAGTCCGCCGTCTTTGCGCCTTCAGCCCCAGGGAACTCGAGAACTCGAGCTCCCGTCTGGGCGAGGCGCATCCTGACCCCCACCGTCCCAAACTCGTTGGCGAGGCTGTCCCGGGCCTTTTTGAAGACGGCCGCATAGGACAGCCCGCCGTCAGCCGCCTCCGGGGACACGGTCACAACTACAGCCGCGGTTTTGGGCGGCTGCAGCTTCCGCGGCCTCTTTGCAGAGGCCGTTGCCACCGGTGGCGAAGGCTGGGCTTGGGCTGCTTTTTGGGCAGCCTTTCTGGCCCGCCTTCGGGACTTCTTGGAGCCCCTCGCCTCCTGCCAACCCTCGTTGGAGGGGGCAGGTGCGGAGGGGCCCGGCAGGGGTGTCGGAGTGGGGAGCGGAGGGAATGCCACTCCGCTCCTCGGCGCCGTTTTAGGCCCCGTCTTGGCCGGCGCCTGGGGATGTGCCTTGGCCGGCGCCTTAGCCGGTGCCTTGGCCGGCGCCTGGGCCGGTGCCTTGGCCCCCCTCCTCGGCTTTTGGGGAGCCGATGGAGTCGGGGCAGACGCCGCCGCCGCGTAGGAGACGCGGCCTCCCACTACGGGGAGCGCGGTCGGAGCGGCGGCCTTAGGCCGCTGTGCCGACGCGAGCGGGGGGCGCATAATCGGCGCAGGGGGCAGTCTCGCCTCCAGGCCAGCCAGGCGTCCGTCCAGCATATTCCCAACTGCGATGAGGATTTCTCGCAGTTGGGAGTCAAATGCCCCTGAGTTGGTGGTAGGGGCAGGCTGGGACGCGGACGGGGCTTCCCGCTCGGGGAGGTTCGCCTGGAAGCGGGCGAACTGAGCGCTCAGCTCGTTCACCCGCTCCGTCAGCTTCTCGTTGGCCACCTGTAGGCGCGATACGTCGCCCACTAGGCCCTCCACGACCTCCGACAAAGCGGAGGAGGAGTCCTTAAGGGCCCTCACAAACGAGCCCTTAAGGTTCACGGATTTGAAGGCCACCTTGTCGATGACGGCCACCGCCGCTTTCGCCCTCTCCTGCACGGACACGGGAGCCTGGGGGGCATTTCCCCCCACCGGCTCCCGAACCTTGAGCAGGAGATCCGCGATCTCCTCCTCCGCTACGGCCTCGCCGTCCACTCGTACGCTCCTGTAGGACTCCGCGTTTGAGAACGCGGAGCCTGACGGGGTCGAGACCGGGGCCGTTTTGCGTGCCCTCCCTCGGCGGCTGCTTGCCACCTTTGGTGGCATCATTTCGCCGGACGTGTCGGTTTCCACGTCCCCTGAGCGTCCGCGTTTTCGGCTGTCGCTTCGCTCCGCCTCCATGGCCTCCGCGCCATCCGACGAAGCGGCGGATCCGGAACGCAGCCGATCTGATGCTCTTCGGCTCCCAGAGACCAGCGTCAGACTGACTTCTGGGAACCCCATCGAGATAGGCGTTCCCGACACCATCTCACCCTCAGTGGACGACCCATCCGCTCCACTATTCCTCTTCACCTTTGCACCCTTCGTTTCAGAGTCCGTTTTGCTTGCCTGTTTTCGTTGTATATTTGTTTCCGTTCGTTTTTTGTTTTGGTTAGACTTTATGTGTTCCATGATAAATCCCACGAGTGGGGGAGAACTAAAGGTCCACCCGGGCAGAGATCCCCCATTACCCGGGCAAGCGTAAGTTTTTAACCCAACCGAGGGGTCCGCAGGTACCTCGGCTTGGAGTGCGCTCGCGACTGAACTTCCCATCAGCCAAGCATCCCCTGGCCACGCACCAGAACACGGGATTCGGGGAATTTTTTAGAGAGGTTATCTTCCTCGCGGTCCGGGCGGTTAAGCCAAGACCCTCGCCCCCGATCAGAGCCGCGAGACTTAACCACAGCGCTCTTCTCGGGATTGCGATATGCCGACGGTTGACAGGGAGACTACGTCCCCCTGCCTGCTCGGTGGTAGTGTCAGTACACGCCGAGCCCGTCCTCCTTTCTCCACCGCTATCAGCGGAGAAACTGTGGCCCCTACAGGGCCCCGCCATCAGGTTTTTTACCGAGGTTTCCTCCTCCATGCTCCGAAGAGCGAAGAGCCAGCAGGGCAACCGGCAGACACGCCCACCCTGCTGGACCAGGCCTTGCCCGAGAGCCGATGAACGGCTGCCTCTTCTGCTAGAATATTGGCCGCTGGCGATAATCCTCTCCTCCAAGAGGACAAGGAGGGAACAGTACCATCGCCAGCGTTTCCAGGGTGCACCACGAGGAGGTTTTCTAGCCCAGCACCCCACAAAAACCCTATACCAACCCGTCTGGCCAAAACCTCCTTTCTAAGGAGTGGCCTAAGTCTAGATGTAGACTATTATCGACTTAGTAATTTAGGAGAATAAAAATCAATCACGCTGCTTTTTAAACCGCGTTACTTATAGCATAGGGCTCAATTTATACTGCCGCGGAATGTAATGCAATGGAAGCGTCAATTTTGCCTCATGACGTTAGAAGTCGAGCGAATTCACATGACTGCGCCTTGAGCCGTACTACTGCGAGCGTCCCGACTAACTCTCCGTTCGCGCCACTTCCCGCGCATTCCACAGACGTTGCAAACAGTAGCTAGGTGAATTCTCGAGAAGACGCGCGACCTTTTTTTGATTTGGTTTGGTATTTAGTTTGTACTTTTTGCAATTGACCTAAAGTTCATAATGCTATGTACAATTTCATTCTAAAAAATCGCTTTCATTCCATTACGCGGTGTTGTATTTTCAGTCAAAGATTCATTAGCTGGCACCGCAGTTCCGAAATACGGTACATACAAAGGAGAACATTTTACACAACCCAGTGAATTGAAAATCGTTTAACCTTTAAAAGATCTTAAAGTCTTCAAGTCTGAAGCGAGGTCTAGCATTAACAGTAATACTACAATAGATTACTTCCAATAAAAAAGGAATGTTATAAATTATGTACTTTCTTTTTCGAAATTGAGACGTAAAAAAAAGTCATAAAAGTTCAAATTTAAAAACGTGAAATCGGTAACCCTTATTGATTAAACCAATTCCAAAACTCGTTTCAAAGAAATCCAGACCTCGTCTATTTCGCTTTCAGTAATAAAATAAATTTAATAATGAACATGAGTTATCGTGAATATTGCTTTACAGCAAATTCGATGTCTTTTTTTGTAGATGATACTGGTTCAACTACTTTTCAGCTATAGCTGCCCGTTTAAGCGGTCGCAACGCTGCTTCCTACTGACGCTGAGTGTTGTGGGTTCGATCACCATATGATCACTTTGTGTTATCCAGAAATTGTTGTTCTGGGTCTGGGTGTCAAAGCTTTTCATATCCTTATACTCTTCACATCGACGACAGCCGTGATTGACGCGCCCTTGAGCTTTTCATTATCACTATTAATAACTTATATCAAATAATTTTTTGAACATTAATAAGTTGTATTTTATAATATAATAATAATAATATTTCACAATTGAAACTATTATGAAAGAGGTTAAACACTCAAACAATCCAACTAGATCTACTAACTTCAGGAGACCATACCATACCTCCATATTGGTAATACCATTGCTGAAATTTTTAAGTGTCTGTTACCGTAACTATCGGGCAAGTAGTTATGAAATAGTTAATAATAAACTCTAAGAAGGAAGGAACAGGTTACAAACTTCAATGGAGTAGGAAAACTAATATATTTAGTAGTTAAAAAGTCTGCTTGAAATCTTCCAAGTCTTTTTCGACTTTCTTCAAAACTAATTCTTTTTGTTTGTTACAGAGGCGAGAGCACAAATCTCAGGTCCTACAGAAAAATACTTGAAACCAGGGTCGACGTTGCGACTACAGTGCTCTGTGGTCCAGACGACAGAAGCACCAGCTTTTGTATTCTGGTAAGTCATTTCAACAAGAAAACATTTTTTTCTGATAACTTCTCTTTACTTCTATTCTCGTTTGATGTTAAGATATAGAATCTAATATACACACATCTATAATAACATTTAAGGAAATTTTATTCATTCAAACCCGTATGAAATAAGCTCTAGGGCACACAATATAAGCATTTTACTTATATATTAATTTTGTAAAAATATAAAATTTCTGATAATGATAAATAGTTCTTCTCTTTTCCAAATTTTATTAGGGTGCGGTACACACCGTATAATATTAATAACCGTATTATTTACGTACACATTATACATATACACGTACATATCATTAACAGCTTTTAATATAAAAGTACACTGCTGGACATATTCTTCTCCTTAGGAAGGAGCTTCTGGCCTACTATAATCCTGCGTAGTTTGCTCCCTTAATCGGCTCTTACGACACCCATGGGATAAAAAATAATAAATCAATCACCACACGGACAGATAGATAGAAATACATTGTATTGAAATAATACGTTTAGTGTCGAATTGCTTGATTTAATAAAGCGTGGTGGTTTAAGCGGTCGCCACGCCGCCTACTGCGCCGAGTGTTGTTTGTTCACACAAAGTGTCGTCCCATGTAGGGACATGGGACGACACTTTGTGTGAACCACAAATTGTTGTTCTGGATCTGGGTGTTCTTTGTGCCCCTTTCATGTATGTTTGTAAAGTCGTTCGCGACACCGGAGTGTATTCCTAATGCGGGAGTTGTCTTTAAAAAAATAAATATTGATTCAACTGATATGGGCCCAACAAAGTCGTTATTAAAAATTATTAGAAACTACCGGCTCATTCTCAAGAGCTCCTAATTTACAACTAAATGTACTTTTTTTTCTTAATCCGTTATCACATATATAGTCTCCTTGTAGCGACAAAAATATCGAATCTAATTTCAGTACTGTAACAGTTGAAACTTTTTAATGGAACAAGCAAAAAATAAAGACAATTTCCAACATGAAATTTAAGATTTTTTTAAACTTAAGGGTTTTAAATTCATAACGATATTAATCTATTGACTTGCTAATAAAGCGGTACTGCTATCGATCGTTTCTTATCGAATTAGATTATTTATTAAATGTCTAATACAATAATCAGAAATCTGCATTCAACAAATAAAAAAAATAGGCTTTCATAAATGTATATTGATCAAATACTACTATGGTTCATTGAATAGCAATCAGTATTCGATTTTTTAAAATCGATATCTATAAAACACTACTAGTACTTACTAGTGAAGAGTTATTAGCCTATTTCCAAGTCGATTCTCGGCAATCAATTTGTGCTGCCAAGAATGAACATCGCTAATCACTAAATTATACGGCACGTATGGCAAACGTGGTTGTACTACAATAGTAAAGGATTTTACGACATCATTGTTCGTTCCGATATTCATTACCTTTCGACGCAGTGTATTACATTTGAAGCTCTAAGAAAATACCGCAATGTAATCTGTTATGACGCTGCTGTTTTTACGTACATATGGAAAACTATTTTATTTTTATTTTTTTAGCATACATAAGGCAATTATTTAATTTAATTTAAACAAGGATCACCTTGGTTTGCTTTTGTTTGAGATTTTTATTACAGTTAATTTAATAAAAATGGATATTTGTTGTTAATTTTACTGTTCAATAGCACTTGCATTCGGCATTTACTGTTTACCACATTGTCTACTTTTGCAATATTAACTTCTAGCCTTTTTAAACCGGTTATCGTGATGGAAAGTAACCTATTTTACTTGCTGATAATGTAGCTTTCCATTAGTTAAGAAAAAAAAATAGTTTTAAAAAACAAAAAAATACGCTTTCTATAGAAAACCAAACTAAAAAATAGAAAATAAATTCGAAGAAAAGCGTTGGGTGCCTGTTGTCAATAGTAAAAAACTGTTTTTTAAAACTATATTCTTTTTTTTTTTTATTAGTGTATTGTCATCGGTCCTCGATATATCTACAAAGTTTGAACGAATTCTGACCGTTTAAAGTCAGTCAAAATCACCCCCAAAGGAGTCGGTTACAAACATACAAGTGAAGCTAATATAAAGCGTGTAAAAATTAAAATTGGGTTTAGTGGTATCGCTTAGTGAGAGCGTATAAAACAAACAAACATATCACTTTCACATTTATAATATAAGTATGGATGTCTTTCTTAAACAGATCACATGAAAGCGTTAGTAGATAAAAGAATATAATGTGCAAAAAAAAAAGAAGGATTATGATTTCATTTGCTTAATTTTACCTCGTATTGAAGACAAATTAAGTCGTAAAATTGTAAAAAAAAAAAAAAAAAATCGCTTATGACCCTCGAAATGTAGTAAAAACGCAATTAATCCTCTCAATTTATTTTTTCTTATACATATATAATAATACTACCACCTCAAATAAAGTTAAGGGTGCTTGTACACGATGCAAGTAGCTTGCGCATTTTGAGGCACTTGCGCACGTAAAAGACTAAGCGGTGACTCGAGCATGTACCATATTTAACGCGATTACTTGCTCCAGATTCTGACATCGTGTACTGAACTGTTTTAAATCTGAAACGAGAACGACCCATACATGTACTGCGCGAGTAGCATGTACATACATATATAGATCAAACGTGCAAGTAACTTGCGCACGCAAAAAACCCGCGTCTTCACTCCCTCCAACTACTGCCACCGTGTAGAAGCACACTTTTTGTTCTGTGCGGAAATCCCCTCGGATACCAGCTACGGTGGTTATGTCGGACACGAACCGACCAAAAACCTCACGCCGCGCCGTCTCGGGTACCAGTAGACGGGGATCCAAGTGAACCCTAGGAAGGCAATCTCTGGCACCTCGTATGTGGGAACCACGAAGTTCTCATTCTATTTTCTAGAGGGTGCGCTTTACAGTGCGAAGAGCCGCTAACCCGGTCTGCTTCTGCTAGGGTGGCAGAGTATATATCATTTGTTTTATGTCTGGGTGTAATTTATCTATTATATGTCCTTATCCTTTCTTGTATTTAGAAACATAAGAGTGTTTATCAGCAGTCTTGTCACTAAAGCACAGGCTCTGACTAGTTTGGGATCAGACGGTCTTATGTGAGATTACACATATCTCTCTCAGGTTATATTATTATTAGTGGACCTGAACTTGAGAACAACTGCTTAAAGTTTATCTTATGTACATAAGAAGAAATTAAAACTGAAAATATTGTCTGTAGTATTTGTAAAGCACACAATAGTTTCAAGATCGCCTTAAAATGAAAGTTTAAATTAGCTTTAAGAAGTTGAGCAAAGAGTTACTGTACAATATTAAAACTTCATTTAAAGACTTTAAGGGAAACTTAATTAAGTCGAGTTTGGCTTTATTATCAAGCATATCTTGATCGTATATTACGATTATTAAAACTTGTATTTAATTTCGATGATACATGTATATAAGTGATCAGTATTTATATTTAAAGACTTACCAGTGATTATTTTGTAAATTTTACCGTCATTAACATTATACATAGTTTAAATTGCATAAATACATAAAAATAAATTAATTAAATAGCTTCTTAATTAATCTTAAGAGTAACAAGGAGCTTAGTTTACAATTAATGTTTTATTATAGTTATTATTAAAGAAAAGAAATGATTTATAAATAATAAATAAAATACCTATTTGCCTGAAGATATTTGTAAACCAATAAACTACCAAAATCGATTTGCCTACGACTCTCTTACTGACAATGGCTTCTGAAAGTGTTTGAACCAAAATAAATCAATCCCGTGACTATTGGATGGAACAGATTTTATATGTTTAGTAAAGAATGTCACCAGTACTGTACAGAATAGATTTTGCTCAGTGGTTTGCGCAGAATGGGGTGCAAATTAGATTTCAGCACTCATCAACTTGTGTCACTGCTGACTCAGCTATGTTGGGCCTCTCGCTAGATACCGTGGGAAAATAATATTCGACTGTAGCTTCACGAGGAATAAGTGATCGAGAAAGTTCTTGTATTATATTTATACTGATATTATATTTATGCTGGATCCTGGAAAAAATATACGAGGCATATTTATCAAAGATTCCAATATTTTTTGTTAGTTTCGTGTGTCGTTTTTTTGTGATGTGAGTGTTTGGCCTTTGGGTTATGTAATTATGTGAATTATTGTAGTAAAAATTATGTTTATTCAAGTAACTCATAAGATCAAATAATCCTAATGGGATTTATTTACCCTTGTAAAAAAATTGTGTGTAAGTTACTAATATTATCAGAGCTATGGGAACAGTCGTTGAATATGAATTACCTATGAATACAACAAGATCTTTTTATGGAAAAAATCCATCTACAAAAGAGATAGAGTGCAGTCGTTTTTCGGTTCGGTTCGGTTCTCTATATCCAAATTGACCTTCTTGCTCTATTCACACTGAAGTGTTGTGTATTCACAAATAAGAAGGTTAAATTCCCAAAGAAGTTTATGGCATCAGGCAGGTGGCATCAGGCATCGTGAAAAAAATAACAGCAAAAATTCTTTGCAATACAACATATTGCGCCAAGCTAAAATGCAATCGGGAAAAGCGTAGGCAAAATTGTAATTATTATTATTCATTCGTTCATAATTAAAGCTTCCTTATTTTCTTTAGGTACCACAACAGCAGAATGATCAACTACGATGCTGAACGAGGAATCAACGTCACTACGGATCCGGTACAGCGGCTTTCGGACCTCCTCATACCGGCTGCAAGTGTCTCACACGCAGGCAACTACACTTGTGTACCGAATAACGCGGTACCTGCTAGTATTTACGTGCATATATTTAATGGTAAATATTATTATAATTATACTAACTTTGAACTCGACAGGGATCCTGAATCATGGACTAAAGCAACAGGGATGCGTTAACCGTTTTCACGGTTTTCTCACAAGATATCGGTACCCCTGTTGGGCCTAAAACTAGTTAACTAACCTTTTAAATAAATACATAAGTACCTACAATATAGAAACTGAAAATGAGTAAGACAAAAAATCAAATCCTTTTATTTTACTAATGGAATGTATGAAGAAATGGCTTCGTAAATAATATATATCAATGATTTTATTGAATTCAAAGACGTCAAAATTCTTAGAAATACTTTCTACTTTACTGTTTATCAAAACGATAGACCTAAACAGATTTCATAAAAAAGGTTAATTTTCAAACTGTCACATTCGAAGCCAAACAAATAATACTAACATAAATGTACTGACATATACTGACAGAACTTTTCAGATTCGTAACTGGATTGAAGAATCTATTTTCGGATAAAAAGCGAAACAATCTATCACTGCCAATTTTGCTTAATACTTTTCGTAAGAAAAATTTTTGCTTCTCTATAACAAATATCTTTTTCCTTTTAAAGTTCACCGGTGCAAAATCGTTTAGTAATAAATAAACCATAGCCTGTCCCGAGTTATAACTTAGTTGGGAACTTTGACGTAGTTAAAGTGGTCACATATATTAAGTTGTGGTTCAAACCAACTTTAATGAGATCTTTAAAGTCACTACAGGTATAGACGGTTTGTAAGTTAGTGGCTCGCTTTATTACTATTAGCTACACTAAAATAGTATTCGTCATTGGTATTTATAGAAGCATGAATATTTTAAAGGTTAATAATTTGTAATATTAATACTTTATATTAATAACAAGTTATTTTTTAAGAAAACTGAACATATTTACTCCTGTCAAGAGTGGACAATATCCAGCCAGTAAGCGCCTTTAGTGACTTAATAGCTGAACCCGGCGTCTGATTCTTTCAAAAGGAATAAATATTCTTCGTTTCCTCAACATTATTAGTGATACTTGCTCCTATTGGACGTAGAATTGTGTTATATAGCCTATAACCTTTCTCGATAAAAGGGCTATCTACCACTAAAATAATTTTCAATTTGAAAAAGAAGTTCCTGAGATTACCCCGAACATACAAACTTACAAAATTTTCCTCTTTATAATATTAGATTTGGCACTATACTTGTATCATTTTCTTACCAATTCCTAAAATAAAGTCCGTGTGTTTTTTTCATAAAGATAGATAGATAGATAATTCTTTATTTGCACACATTTTACATATGGATATGAATACATGGAACATAAAAATATCAGACATGTAATGTACAAAGGGCGGCCTTATTGCTAAGAGCAATCTCTTCTAGGCAACCTGGATGGATTAAAATTTTTTGGAGAGACAGTAGTAGTACATTAAATATTTATTCATTAATTTTTTAATCAATTTCTCAAATTCAGTTTGATTTTTGACAGCTACACTAAGTATTAGAGTTGTCATACCAGATTATATCCGCAGAAACCATCCTTTCAAGTTCGAGAGTCTTAAATAAATCCATCATTCATCCAAAAACCCTCCAAATACCTACATCAAATCCTAACTATTCAATTCCGTAGGCGGGCAAATGGTTCAACAGTCGAAAGAAGCTATCTACGACTCCAAAGAAATCGAGTCAATCAGGTGTTCATTGAAACGTGAATATTTGAAATCCTGAAGTTACGCACTAGGGTAGATAATCGCGGCGTTTGACAACTTTTTTTTTTAATTTTTGTACCACAAAGATTAAAAACTGCGCATATTGTAAAAGTCTGATGACATCAACATCAACAACCTTTAATACTCCACTCCTAAACATATGACTCTCTCTCCTTAGAAAGGAGGTTTTGGCCTACTATACCACGCTGGCCAGACGGGTTGGTATAGTGTTAGGTTTTTTGTCAAGTTTCCTTCTCTTTGCAGTACTGTTCTCCTGAGTAGTGAGTAGATAGTCTCCGGGATAACTTCTGGCTAATCGCCACGTCGATTCAGGAGGGACCTGACATAACATGGCAGAGGTACTCCCCAGAGAACGGAGCCTCAAACCGGCCGTCGTTGTGGTTTTTAGTGGAAACACCTTTTTTGGAAGGAATTTTTCACTCGATCAGCAAAATAAAGCTCCGCAAGCACTCATTGGTCTAATAAAGTATAGTGTCGTCACACACTTAAACAAAATACTTGTTTGAATCTTGTGACGGCCAGTATACCTAGTGCGTAAGATCTGTTTTAATATTCAGTTACGGCAACGAAATATTTTTCTTCTCAAATAAATTTGATGACATCAAATCTTTAAAAATCAGAATGTGACAAAAGTCTTTCGAAGTTAAACGAGGGAATTTTTGTGAAAACGAAACCACTTTTGGATAAAAGGCAATGTTAGAGCGAAAATAACAATTTATTTAAAGTAAACCTTGATTTGAGCAAGACACAATTGATCTTATGTCTTATATAGTAACAAAGACTAAAATCATACTTTTAATAATATTGTTAGTCTACTCTTTGTAAACTACTATTCATATTTCTAAACCTATTTACCTCTTCCACAGGTGAAAACCCAGCAGCTATGCAGTCATCATCACCGAGCTTCATCACCTCACTCCATGGATTCCTATTACCAACGCTCACTGTGCTGAATATGATACGGTGACAATTTCGCTGGTTCTGCACATAAAAACGTATCCTATTCAATACATCTAAGAGTTCTATTTTGCGTGGAGTGATATTTCTACTAACAGTCAATTTCATTTTTATGCATTCTAATATAAATAGTATATTTTTGTTTATGTTGTTCACTTTTAGTTTATTATACAGGTCTTTGCGTGACATAATCATGTTATGAAGTAGATTAAAATACCTATATTTGGTTATGTAATATTTAACAATACGTAAAAATAAAAATTTAAGAAGAGAATTTGTGTGGTCTAAGTACTACTACGACTGACGAGTTCACACCTACCTTCCTTGCAACACAACCACTTTAAGTAGACTAAATGACAGAGAGACTTAGCTCAAACGACAGAGCTCTTTCAAGCAAGTGTTCTTAGACCATAAAGAACCACGTACCTCTATTAACCGAAGGTAAAAAGAAAACTATGTCAGTACAAGAAATATGTAGTACCATGCAGTATCTACCTACCCATCATATGTACAGGGCTTGAAATTTAAGTATCAGCTCAAAGGATACCTATTTCTGACTAAATGAAGTAGAACGAAGAGTTGAAAGTTTCTTCACAGACAATTACGACCCACGACCAAGTCTAATTACCTCACAACCGTTAGAGAGACCTCCCTTTAACGGATACGGTAAAACAATCACAAACCTTCTTACTCTCAACGCCCAATAACTTCATAAACTCTACAACTTAGTCAAAATATGCGGCTCGGCCACTTCGGTACCGTCAAATGGGCGTAAGGAGAAAAATTTATTCACTCTACATTTCTTGTCTGTTAGTAACATACCCAAGCTACATATCTTGAAAGTGTAGAGTTGCTGCGTAAGGTAGAGAGTTAGAAGGTTGGCTCTACATGAGATCTTATAACTTTTTGACAGTAATAATAATAAGCCTGAGGTAGACCAACTGGCGTCTGTATTCTGGCTACGATTCGGTGACCTCTTCGGAGAAACTGAAGGTTTTGTCTTTGCAATTACTGATGAAGTAGTTATGACGAATAATTATCGGCAGTATATGCTGAAAGACGGCACAATAGACATTTGTGGGGCATGTCATTGTCCCGGTGAAAGCCTCAGACATATAATTTCCGGTTGTTCTCGTCTTGCCAACGGCGAGTACTTGCATAGACATAACCAAGTGGCCAGGATAATCCATCAGCAATTTGCTCTTAAGTGTAACCTTGTAACTGTAGAGTTACCGTACTACAAACACGTGCCCGACCCAGTTCTTGAAAATGGTTGTGCAACGTCGTACTGGGATCGCCCATTATCACTAACAGGACTATTGTTGCCAATAAACCTGATATGGTGGTAATAGACCACGGTTGACATTACCATTCCACATGACGACAATCTCTTGAAAGCTGAAAAAGATAAACAAGTAAAGTATTTGGATTTGGCCCACGAGATTGTCGTCATGTAGGATGTTGATTCGGTAATCATTGTACCGATAGTCATATCGGCCGATGAATTAATTGGTAAACGCCTCGACTAACATCTTTAGAGGCTCGCGTTAGGCAGTTGGATTAAGAGCCTATTGCAAAAAGCAGTTCCTCTCGATACGGCATGTATTGTGAGGAGGTTTCTGTCTCTGGAGTCCTAACCACCAATATCTTGGTTCCTGTAACCAATACCGATGGGACACTATTGTTTATATTTTTAAATGTATTTTTTTTGTACATAAATAGAAATATAAAAATGTAATTTATATGTATATTATATGTAATAAAGATAAACTTTTAATTTGTGGGCGATCTAGAGTCTAAAATAAATCGAGGCCTGTACTATAAACCTTCAGGCCCCCTATTGCATGACATTTTGTAGATTTCTGCAGTGCGAGCCATAATGTCTCGTCTAGGCAATATTTTACATAAAAATGTTTTGGTTTTTTTTATTTATGTTCAGTATATTGGCATAAGTAATGATAACGATACAATAATACCTACAAAAACTAATTATACACAAGATCAGAAATTATCCAATTTTCAGAACTGTGAATCTAATCTTTCGGCAATTTTGACACTGTCACCCTCTGTAATTCCCTTCCAAATGATGGCAATTATCACTATAATTATACCGGACTGAAAACGCTTTGGGAAGCACGTTTTGAGAAGTATTTTTGAACATCCTTCCATCTTTTAATGCTCGATTTTATATTTTAGCAATGGAGTAAAGTTTTGTTATTCTTGGCCGTTTTGATGGAGAGCCTATCTTCTTAATTAAAATGGATTTCTTTTTCATTTTTATGTTTATATTTATATGGTATGGAATATTTATGAAAATAGACAAGAAAACAAAATTTTTACCTTATTAATGTAAATCTAATCCTCCCCATGTTTGATTATTTGCCTCAATATCAATATTCGGGGCTATTTTTCTTGAAAAGTTCAAGGAAAAATCTCTTCGGTTCAAAAAGTTTGTCCTCCACAAAGTCCTGAGCTATATTAAGTTCGCACTAAAATAATATTATAACTGTATGCAAAATTATAACGAAAATTTATTTATTACACTCAAAAGACCCATAAAACGTTATCCTACGATACCTATACAACGGTAGACAAACTCCACATAATTCAAATTAGGTATGCGCTAGGTACTATGTGTTTGCTTCTTACATACTCGTGTAATATCAATTATTATCTTAATTATATAAAAACAGTGTACAGGAAAGTGAATGTTACTTCAAGTTTTCATCGCAATCCCTTTGACAGAATTGATGTTAAGAATATCACACGCTGTAAAACTTTCAGTGTCTTCTCTTGTTTTTTAACTCCCGAAGGAAAACGAGGGGTGTTATAAGTTTAACCTGTGTATCTGTCTGTCTGTCTGAGGCTTCATAGCTCCCGAAAGGATTTTTGTCTTCGAAATCCGATGTGATCGAGATGGTTCTTAGCTATGAATTTTGAAGATCATCAGCTCACTTCAGGTGATGAAGGGAGCTCACTAAAATCCACAGGTCCAATTGATCTGAAATTTGTTATACTGTTATTTTGATGGTATTTCCACGACATGGTAACCTGGAACTTGCAGTTGCATCAATTAGTCTGCGGGATAGCCAACTCCTCAGAAAATTACAGCATACATACCATGTTTGGGCTTAGTAGGGCAGTCTTAACGAGCAGTTGTTGTCATTTACTGAATTTCTTAATCTTTTTAGTTAGGCTTAAAGCTGATTTATCATGTGGATTATTAAATAGTTTTCGTTGACCTAATTTTTGTGTCGGAAGTTATTTAATTTGTTATTTAATTGTTGTAAACCGTACCATTCACAGACTGCAAGAAGATGCTACTAGCGATGGTGATCCATTATAAAAAAAAAATCTCACAGATGAAAATTTGTGGTACAGCCGTTTTGAATGAGTGTAACCAGTTTTTTGGCCAGAGTAACCTCTTAAGCCTCTTCGATAAATTTCAATTTTACCTTAAACTTTTCTTTTTTCTTGTCTTATATCTCGTTAGAACTTAATTTGATTAAAGTTGTGTATTATTAATTATTTTATATTTGCTCAATTATTTATTTATTTATTTATTTATTTATTACAACTATGGAGGATTTACAGCTATGATGATTACAATAAAAACAGTCAAGAAAACAGAAAGCCAATAACAAATCCTCACTTATATAAGTCAGAGATAAGTTACAGTGCATAAGACAATACAGAATAGGATCAAGAGGTATTATATAAGTTACAGGCACAGATCACCTACAAATTACACAGAACATAATAATATACACACAAAACAGACAGGACCCATAACAATAACTACTCAGACCCCCCACCATCACCCCTGAAGAAGTTAAGGCTTAAACACCTCCTCGCTCCCGTTACACTAACATTAAAAATATCAATTCCAAATTGTTCACACACATTATTGAGGCTTCTAGTTGAACGAATAACAAAATAATTTTTTCTATAGTTCGTCAGTGCAAATGGTACACTCAGCGGTGGGTTATAGCGAGTTCTTAACGGAATATTAATATTAAACTTAGATAAAAGTTCGCAGCAGTCAATTTCGTTACTGAAAATTTTTAATAATAGGGTACAATCAGCGATTTCACGACGCGTTGTAAGGGGTAGTAAATGGTACTTCTTGCAAAGGTCAAAGTAAATTTCCGAGTGATAAGGTACTTTCTGGTGAAAGCACAAATATTTTATGAACCTTCTCTGGATATTCTCAATTCGGTCTACATATTTTTGGTAGCAAGGATTCCAAACTTCACATGCATACTCTAAATGGCTTCTAACAAAGGTGCAATACAGAATTTTTAAAGTTTTTGCCTGTTTGAAGCCCCTAGACAGTCGCATTATGAATCCTAATGCTTTAGAAGCTCTGGCAACGATTGCATCTATGTGTTCTTCATAGATCAGCTTCGAGTCATGCGTGACACCCAGATCCAGATCAGTTTTTTTTTTTTCCTTTATTTTTAATTGATTTAAAATAAAATGGGTTTAGTAATTTTTGTCATGTTCTTGTGTCTTCCGAATTAAGTTACTGTTGAAAAGACTATTTCAATTCTTCAAAAAACCATTGCCTTGTCCTACGTGCCCGTTACTTAATAACATATTATGAATAATCGTCATATCAAGTCTCTACATTTGTTTTTTTTTATTTATTCATGCAGATATATTTTCGAAAAATTTAGGTTTTTTTAAATCAATTTTCAAATTCAAGCTACAGCTAAGTAAGTAGTACTTTAATGCGCAATATATCTTCCCACTACAATGTCAGGAACCTCGATATAGATTAAATGTCTTGGTTTATGATATAAATAGATTTATGTGACAACAAATGATATGCAAAATGATTATAGTTACGGCTTGCAACGTGTCTAAGACCTTGCCAGTAATTATTCATATCAAGATTAGTATTGCACGGATCGCGTAGTAATTTAAGCGGTCGCCACGCCGCTTACTACTGCGCTGAGTATTGTGAGTTCGATCCCCACATGAGACACGACTTTGTGTGATTCAAAA